GACTGTACACTCATCAAGTTTGCAGATGACACCAAACTGGGGGGGACTAGCTGATACACTCAAGGGGAAGGCCCCCATTCAGAGCAACCTGGACAGGCTGGAGGGATGGTCCACGAGGACCTGATGAAATCTGAGAAGAAGAAATGCAAAGCCCTGCACTTGTGAAGGAATAACCCCTGCAACGATATAGCCTAAGCACCATGGGGCTGGGGATCAGCTCTGCTGCAAAGGGCCTGAGGTGTTGCCAGACATTGAGCTGGGTATGAATGAGCCCACAGCCTACCCTGGCAGCAAACTTCTCTGTAGAGCTTTGCTAGTCTTCTGAAAAAACCTGTCATCAGTACCATTGACTCACTGCTGGTATACCACAGGCAGAGAGCACACACAGTAGGAGCACAACTGGGCAATAACGGATTAAAAAAAAAAAAAAAAAGACCCAAACAGTTCAGCTTGAATGTCAAAGTAGACTCTGGTTACCAGGCCACCACAAGAAGAGCAAGAAAACAGATTTGAAATCTGAAAAACAGATTTTTAGGTTTGGTGAGCCTTAAGTAGCTACAGAGACACAAACAGGGGTTGCTCAAGGTCTGTCACTGAATTCAACGTCTTGGCATTGACACCATATTCTCACCACTACTCAGTTAATACATACTCAGGTCTCTTACATTTTAATATCCAAAACAGCCCTCTGAATAGGAATATTTAATGGTTGGACTTGATCTTAAGGGTCTTTTCCAACCTAATGATTCTATGATTTCACACATTCAGAATGAAAGCCACGTACTGGATTTATTAGATTAAAACTCCGTTTCAACCGAACAGTCCAACCAGGACAGCCCTGCTCCTTTCTGGAAGGCTGTTTTTGCTTCTGGTTGCACTTAAATGCTGGGGTCAGGGGTGAAGGGCTGGGAAGCAGAAACACACTTTTAACCTGGGTCCCTTCCCTGGGGAGCACTCTTCAGCTCCTCAAGCATCCCCTGAACTACACCCACCTGGCAAAGGAGGCTGCTGCCACCGGCACACGCCGCAGGCTCCCCGCACCACCCGTGGAGGGAAGGCAGCAGCGCTCGCCCACCTCGGCACATCAGTTTTCCATCTACAAAAAAAAAAAAAAAAAAATTAAACAGCACCAGAATAAAAAACTAGGGTGCCTCAGACTGCACTGTAAGTACCAATCAGTTAAATTGACAAATAAATTGGCAATAAAAGTGGTGGGGTTGGGTTCCGCAGGCTCCCCGCACCACCCGTGGAGGGAAGGCAGCAGCGCTCGCCCACCTCGGCACATCAGTTTTCCATCTACAAAAAAAAAAAAAAAAAAATTAAACAGCACCAGAATAAAAAACTAGGGTGCCTCAGACTGCACTGTAAGTACCAATCAGTTAAATTGACAAATAAATTGGCAATAAAAGTGGTGGGGTTGGGTTTTTTGTTTTGTTGCCTTTTTTTTTTTTTTTTTGGAGCAGGGTGTCTTAGGGGCCAGGGGAGTTCTTTCTTTCTTTCTGTTTTTTAAATAAAGGGCCCTGCATACTCCATCCCCTGGGTCTAGCTGGTCTCATCAAGGTTACTAAGTAACCTTGAGTCGTATTCAGCATTTCTACGGCTCTTTTGAGAAGGAAATTGAATCCCTCCCATGTTTGAGAAGCCCAGCTTTCAGTTTAAATAGGATTTTTCAGGTATTAGCATATCAAACGGCATAGTTGTCAGCATGCAACATAAGATTAGCACATTTTATTTTTTCTAAGTCTCAGCTCCCTTCTGTTCTACTATTTTGCATTTTTAGTGAGAACAAACCAAAGGCAAGCTTGGTAGCCATCTGCAGGAGCAAGACACCGGGTATGTCTACACAAGAGCTTAATTAATTTGCTTCCAGAAATCAAAGAGTGGCTTAAATCTGCTGGGTCCCTCCAGGAACGCTGCTGGCCCTCCTAAAGTCTACAAGGCAACACTTCAGTCCTGACCCCTGAGAATATTTACCGATACCAAAGAGCTGGATCCTGGCATGCCACACAAGGTGGGAGAGATGTCAAAGTAGTCGGGACCATCTCTTGATCATAAATAGTTCAGAAGGAAGTCAGGCACATCAGGTCACACAGTACATTACAAGTGGCATGGAAATAGCACCTCTGCCTCATCTCTGGGCCAGGACCGGCAGCAAGCAAAAATGGTTGTAGGGGGTCCAAGTTTTAGAATTTATATTCTGCAGCAATATTTTGGATTTCTAAGTCTTATTTTAACATTATTTGGCATATATTTGATGAAAAGTTCACAAATTTAGTGTCAGTCTGGAAAGTGAAATAGTTGCACTGATTGTGTCAACCTGTTTAAATACATTGAATGTAAAATTTGGTCACAAATTTAAGGTGGGCAAATTCAATCACTTAAATGGATCCTGATGCAGACAGCTGCTAACATTCCCACAACCTAAACTATTTAAGAGAGACTTAACATTTAAGAAGTGATATATATATATATATATCCCAGCAGTATATAGGCCTCCAAAACTCATGAAAAAGTCAGCAGGTTTTTACCTATTGTTCTTCTAGATACTATCATCTATCAAGGTAACGCTTATATCACTCCTCTGACTCATACCAGAACAGCAGCCTTGTGGTATGATTGTCAGAGAAGTCAGACAAAGGCAAATTATGTTTATTTCTCATCCTCAACTATATTGCTGGGGCTGCTGGAAGTATTACTTCCTAAAGACCTCTAAAGAATGATATACATCATTACTTTTCGGATATCCGTAACGGCAGTCAGTGAAATGTTACATTACAGTGATGCTGAAGCTCCTTAATCAAGTTCTAGTTTTACTGTATTAGGTGATTCACTGGCTCATGAAAAAGCAGCTCCGTTATGGAGCAGCGTCAGCTCCATAGTGCCCATGACAGCTCATTAAACTGCGTGGCACCTGCTACCCACACACAGGAAACACGAGCGAGGCATCTCGGCTCTCGGGCTGAAGAGGCAGGGATTCCTGAGAAGGAGGAGAAAAAAAAAACCACAACACAACCCCCCCCACCCCCCCAAAAAAAAGAAAAAAAAAAAAATCAAGCCAAAAACGTAGAGGGATCTTTACCCATCTGACAACAAGAGACTTCTAGCAAAATTAAATGTGAGATTTGGCATTCCTTAAGTTGCCAGACAGACATCATCTTCATGCTGGAAGGCAATTAGTGTCATTCATCGCTAGTGCGCCCAAAGTCCTCTCAGGTGAATGTATTAGCACAAAAACATATCCGACGGATGCGTTCGATTACACAGTTATATAGAAAGCTGTATGAAGTTTTGAGAAGTAAAAGGAAAGCAACCTACAGCCAGCCAGGGAAACTTCCAAAATCTTTCAGAAGCTTCTGTCATTGTAAGGTCTTTGAAACCAGGCCATTGTAAGGTGTCAGATCTTTCAGTAGTTAGATCTCAAAAACATCTATTTCGGGTGTTCTGGAGTAGCAATTTTTTGCTCTTTAAATTTGTCCAAATTCACATTTGTTTACCTGTTCCCATCTGTCAGTGTATTCCCTTTTAATCCTCTTCACACTTCCCAGACAGACAAAGTGGTGTTCGAAATTTGCCTGGTAGGAATTCGCCTTTGTATTCCCCTACCTGCTCCGGATGGAAAAACCAAACAGAAGAAGAATCCAAACCACGTAGTTTGAAGTATTTGGATCAGATAAAACTGTTCACTGTTAAAGACATACTTTTGCCTACCTGTCCCCAGACAGGTAGAACAAGGGATAAGCAGTTCTTCACATCTCTTCAGCCTCTTATTTATACATAGCAGAATATTGCTTAAAGGTTATTGTTCTCCAGTTTATAGTGTTCAGTAAAGGGCTTGGCCACATGGGGAAGGTTGGACAATGGTTATGACAACTCTGGGAAGGAAAAAGGACTATATGAAAAAGAAAATAGCAAGCATGACTAATTATTTTCCCATCTAAATTTAGTTTTTAAAAAGTAAGCTTTTTTAAAGAGATCCAGAAACTGAAACAAAACAGCCAAAAAAACCCCTACACACTTAAGACCCCCATTAGTTATCCATAACAGAAAACCAATGTAGCAGTCATGAATACACAATACATTTCTCCAGGAAAAACCTTAAAAACCCCACTAAGGTGTTCCGAAAAATCTGCGTAAGACTACTTGCAACATTTGATCATGAATGTTTTGAATGTTTCAAAGCCATGTTCTTTGTTGTCCAGCTTTTAAAGATTAAAGCTTTTAGGCAATAATGATTCCTTAAAATCACTTTGCAAATAGCTGTACTGGCTCTGGCTGGGACAGAGTTAATTTTCTTCACAGCAGCCCATACAGTTCTGTGTTTTGGGTTTGTGGCTAAAACAGTGTTGATAACACAGGGGTGTTTTGGCTAAGGCTGAGTAGTGCCTGTACAGCAGGGAGGTTTCCTTTCTCATTGCTTCCTCCTCCTCTTCTTCCTCCAATCTGCCCAGCCCAGCAGTGAGGAGGCTGGGGGTGGTGAGGAAGTCAGGAGGGCGCACAGCCAAGACAGATGCCCCCAGCTGACCAAAGGAACATCCCATATGGGATCACACTCCACAGTAAAAGCTCAGGGAAAGGAGGAGGAGGAGGGAGGGACATTTGGGGTTACTGTGTTTGTCTTCCCATTGTAAACACCTGCCTGCTGACAGGAACTAAATTCCTTGTTTTGCTTTGCTTGTGCACACAGCTTTGCTTCCCCTATTAAACCATCTTTGTCCTGACCCATGAGTTTTCTTGCTTTTGTCCTTCCCATTCTCTCCACCATCACTCCAGGGAGAAGAGTGTATGGGCAAGGGGGTGGGGGCTCACCTGCTGGCTGGGGTCAACCCCCCCCGCCCAGCTTTCTAACTCTGTTACATTAGTAGTCCAGTCAGACAACAGTCATTCACTCACAGATGGTGCTCAGCTTCCAGATACTCCAGTTTATTATGGACTTAACACAAGAAAACATAGTATAAAAAAAAAAAGTAGGTTGCAAAGTTTTCACATCATGGAATGCCAATAGTTACAAAAATTGAAGTCATACCATTGGAAATAGTACATGAAAGCTTGTGGGAAAAATATGTGGAGATAGGAGGAAGATTTGTTGGAGATAGAGAAGGAGGAGAGAAAAATATTAAGTCAGTTTAAAAAAAAAAAAGATACACGATCTAAGCCTTTTTTAATAGAAAATTTAATATCATTCTTTGAGTCAAACAATCCTGCCTAGAAACATATTCATAATGAAATTAACTCCAGATTTTGAACCTGTAAATAACAAGATCCCTTGTCCCAGTTAACTTGCATTAAAATAGCTTCTGTGTCCTGCAAGTCATTCTGAAATACCCCTTGACTTCTAGAGTGTTTATCATGCTTAAGTTGATAGATTGTTTGCTACACAGTTACAAGAACAACAATTACAATTCTTAAGTTACAAAAATAGTTATCACTCATTAGTATTTCTATACATATCTCAAGTTATTATATGCACACTCTGTACAGTGGATGTTAACAGTGGTTATGTTTGCTTCCTTAAAGAAAACAAGTAACTAAATCACCAACAGTCAGAACCAAAATATTCAGGCACCATAATGTACTTGCATTTCTGGCACTAAATATCCCTGCCCATGCAAAGCAAAAGCAGTTTCGGTACCCAAAAGACATATGCATCCCGGCTGCAAGACCCTTACGATGGTTGGTGGAAGAGGATCAGTATGTTACTGCCACCCAACAGTCTCACCCGACGCTGTGGGGCCCGACACCAGCTCTAGTCCTACAGACTCCTTGCAGGCAGCCATTCCTGCCCAACAGGCCTGCCTACAGGCAGAAAAGCAGGTTTACATGGCAAAAGCTGTAGGGTAGCAGAACAAACTACCCCTCTGGTAATGAGCAGAATTCCCCAGTTTAACGTAAAATGGGAAGATGACTTCTCAAGTAGACAAATGCTGGATGTTTTTGCCATACCCAAATTACTGTATTCAACATGTTTCGGTTTTCTTTTGGCTTGGGTTTTATTCCTCCCACCCTAAAGCCAAAAAAAGAAAAAAAAAATCTAGATTTTTTTGCATGATCAAGGCCAACACTAACAAATGTTTTGCTGGTTGCAGTAGTCCATTACTGAAGTACATTGACATTACTTATCTTTCCCTTTCAGAAGTAACACTAAGCCTGAAAGCATTGCTAAGGTGCAGCATTTTGTTAGGCAGGCAAGTAAAAAATTTAATTCTTAGAGGCATTACTGCTAGCCTTGCTTATCTCTTAACTCTCAAAGTCCAGTCCAACTGATGTTAAGCTTCACATAGCTGCCCAACTCTGAAACAAAGTCACCGATTTCAGAAGATGCTGTCTGGCAACAGGCAGATGTCCCACTACAGATTTGGGGGGTGGGAAGAAAAGCAAAACCACAACTAACCCCCCCATCACCACCACAAAAAGAAAAAAAAAAAACCCGAAGCCTTAAATGTTGAACAAGAAATAACACTATTTTTTTCTGAATCTAGAATTCCCTCATATTACTCCAAGCACCAACCTTTCCATCATGAGGGCACAACACTTCAGTCAGATGGTTAAAGACTGTAACAGTTGAACCCCAGCACTTAGAGATTCAGTGCTTAAATGGTTAGCTTTATACACCACACGCTAAAAAGCCCAGAGTCACGTTTGCAATGTACGACTATGAAGGAATTTATTCGCTCGCAGAACTTCCAAGGACAATTTGGAGCCAAGTCAACTAAGGCATGTACTTAAGTCTGCCAACATAAGGCTGCAAAATATAAACACCACAACGTTAACAACAAGGTCATGCAGACATCAGAAGTGCGTCAAGAACTTCAAAGCTGTACCACACCAGAAAAAAAGATACTTATGCTTGTCTTCACAAAAGGTTAAGAATTAAGCAACTATTCCCTAAATATCAAGAAGAGTAAAATTATGAAGGAGCTTCTACAGGCTTTTCCCCACACCAGGAATTCAAGAGAAAGTGTCAGACAACTACAACTTCTTTTAAGAGCGCTTGCCTTCATATCTCTCCAATGGATATTTGATGGTTAGATCTTTGAGTTTGTTTGGTGGCTTTATTTATTCATTGATTTTTAAAGCATCATTAAAAACATAAAGTAATTTTGTTCTCCAGGTCCGAATGGCCAAATAGCCAACACTTTTACTCATTTAAGTGTTACCTTAATTTACCTTAAGTTATAGTTTTGAAATTTTACAGTTATTCTACACAAAATACATTAAGTTTTGTTTTTCAGTTGTGCCATTACAGAGCAACATCTGGACCACTGTTTTAAGAGATAACTAACAGAGCTTCCATTTTAAAGTGCAACAGGTTTTGGTACAGGAATTGCTAAAAGAATTCAAGTGAAGAGAATTATGCCAAAAGTAAGTCCCTTGAAACACAACACTACAATGCCAGTATAGAAGTATCTGGTAGTATCCAAAGATTGTGGGGAAGTTAAAAGTGAAATATAAATCACTTCAGAAGAAATCCTTCAGAAAACATCTTACAAAAAAACAAACCAGAAAAAATTACGATTCTTCAAGTTGACCTTCTGGAGATAATCTGTACTTACTGATTTACAGTGAACTGAAAAGCTCGCCTTTTTAATTTTAAAATCAAGTTAAAAAAAGAAATGTGAAATAATTACAGGTCTGTCACTTGGATCTATTCTCATAGCTTGTTTAAATAGTTAGATGAGTTAATACTGACTCTTGGCACTCTCAGCTTGTTTCCAAGATCAGCCACAGAAATCAAGTCCAAGTACTCAAACAGATGTCTTAACTACTAATTTTAATATAACATCTCTTCAGATAAGCAGGTGAATTCAGAATCTTGCCTTGTTTGGTTAGTAATATGCCAACGGTTACTCTCCTGTAACTGACTTAATTTGAGGATTCATCAATAGGATCTTTACTCCAGCCTTTATTTTTTAAGGCGAGAACTCTTCATCATTCAGGAAGTCTATTACATATCCCAGATGACAGACATTAAAAATAAGACTTGTATCTTCCCCCATCTGCCACATAACTGGAAAGAATAATTCCACTCGTAATTCTTTATTTTAAATTAGCCAATACCAAGCATTTCATGCAACACAAGGTCCACAGATTTATGTATTCTGTTCAGTATGTCTGCCAAACTTTCAAAGTTCAGTTTGAGTCCCAAAACTGCATAAACAGTGTAACGTCACCCCAGCATGCTTGTTCAAGCAGCATTCTCTGTCACCAAATAATTTTATCGTTGTGCCATTCCAGTTATTTTAGATTACTTTTTAGAAAAATTTGTTTTAAATTGATATAAATACCTGCCTAGAGCTGTTTTCTTCTTTTTCTACTTAAAAAAAAACCCCACCACAATAAACCCAAACCAAACAAAACCAACACTCTAGGTGTAAATACTTAGGCCTAGAAGAAAAAAAAAACCCATATCGCTTGTTGGCCGACTTCAGATCTGACATGCTTTAGACAAGAATTCTCTCCCTACCCTCCAACATAAACAAATCTTTACAATAGATAACATAGAAGCAGGGAGGTAAACTCTACTAACCAGCTCCCCACTATCCCGGTCTTCAGTTATCACCTACATATTTTCAGACTATCAGACAAGCCTCTGTATGCATTTTATCAGCCAGAGGACTGAACCTCATCTATACTCTAGGAAGAGGCGAGTCAATTGTGAATTAGTTTCCCTTATGACTGTAAGCTGTAATAAAGAATGTTTACTTTTAAGTGCCCAGATTAGAGAGTAATTTTCAGAATGTAACTACAGTAAGTCACCAGAATTGACTATTCCAGTTCCAGAAGTTCTCCAAAGCCAAAAGCTGGCATCTTCATCTTACCAACAATCATATGAAACTGACAGCTTAGGTTCCAAAATTTTTCATAGACTTCCAGAGTAAGCGCTCATAGCATTCAAACAGAGGGGGTTTTTGTATGGTTACTTAATTTCTTTTAAATCAGTCTTGCATCACTGATATTCTTTCCCCCACCCACCCAATCAGGTCCACCTAAGAAAAGACAATAAAGAAGAGTAAATAGACATGTACCTTAACTGAAGTACTGAAGCATAAGAGATTGTTAGTTGCAAGAATTTACTCAGCAGCCTTTTTCCCCATAGTGCTTATTGCTAATTCATTTTATATAGCTTATTTCCAGGAGATGGGCAGCATAAAAACCGCAACATCCATTTTAAAAAATATATTATTCATTACAGTGCAAAGTCTCAATAATACCTTCTTACAGCTGCATCTTATTTAATTCAGAGATAAAACAATCCTAATCCAGTTAATTAAAAATTTTGTACCTAATCCTTGTACAGTCAGCCTTCAGAAGTCAAGCAACTTTGGACCCCAAGTTTACAGTCACCATGTTTGATAACAACCCCGGAAATTCTCACTGTGCAAGCTATCCTACTGAAGCTATTTAATGCTCGAAGTCAGTCTCATGATTACATCAGCATTTAGTCTTACAGAAAGAATTGCTTTTTCCTCCCTTACATAACTTTGATGTGAATTGTGAGTGCTCTGGAGATTCAGAGAACTACTGCATTGCTTACTGAGCCTGCACACTAAATATACGCACCCCAACATATTAACACTTACAAGTAGCTTAAATACACAGTATATTAAAACAATAAAAATTATGAAAGTTTGCATCAACCTGCCCAAACCCATGCTCAGTTTCCCACCCAGTTCCAACCGCACAATCTTGATTTTAAGAGCTGTACTCAAAAGTTTACTAAAAAACAAAGTAGAATGACACCGAAGCCTTTACCCATTCATTTTCAACAGTCTTGAGTTTTACCTTTGTCAGTAATTATTCTGGGGGGTGGTTTTTGTTTTGTTTTTAAATCCAACTTTAAATCTAACAACATACAATCTCCTTATAACATCCCAGAGGTAGCAGGAGGGAATACGAATTAAAAGATGCCAGATTCTAGAATTTGCACATTCAAGTATAGTGTCATCCAAGAGAGCTTTCCTGGCTTTCACAGGCCATATGTCACCTCTAATCATGTATAGCAAATGAAAACAGAATCCCAAAATAAAGAACTATCGCCACTGGTTTACTAAAAGAAGTTTCACACCCAGATACCTCAAAGTAATCATGTTACTTTAGTAATACTGCCAGTTTCAATAGTCAAATATCAAGAACTGAAGTATAAACTTAAGTTTTATGAGTATCATTTTTTCTAAAATGCTCACATTTCACCTAAACACAGACATACACACAGTTACTCTAAGCTGATGTACCACACTGTAAGGAAAGGTCCCAATTCAGTTCAAGAATCTGATATTTCCCCCTCTCCCTCCCACCACACAACTTGACAGAAGTGCTTACAGTAACAGAAAGCAAACAGAAGGGGAAAACACAACATTTAACAAGTGCATCTATATACATTTTGCACCTTTTCCCTCTTTGCATCTCAAGTGAACTGGTCACCATGATTGCTATGCTTTACGTGCACATACTCTCCCCTTCATGTAGTACCAGGCCTATTCAAAGGATCTCTGCAAGCATCAACAGCAGTCATTCCACGCTAACCGACAGGTGCTTTTATTGCGGAGGCTGAAGTACATTTAAGTATTCTGACTGGCCCAGCTGGTAGGTTGTGTTTCCTCCACAGTCCACATACTGGTATCTCTCCTGGGATATTTGCTCAGAGTGGCCAAAGTAAGAGGTTGTCACTGTCACTCTTAAAAAGAAAAAAAAAAACAGAAGAGAAAGTTGTTTTGTGAGGGACTTGAGTTTCTTATTCTAAAGATCGGTGTTTCTACGTTGCTAGGGCTTTTAAGGAAAAAGTTTTGGAACAAAATGTGCAATACTATTGAGAAAAAAGGTTTTATTTAAAGTTAAAACAATACTAGTTTACCAGTACAGATTTTCTCTATGAAAGACACTTGCTTTCCTGAGCATAGACTTTTTTCCTAAAGAAGATAGTAAAGCTAAGGTTTACTTGGTAATACCTTGCTTTGCAAGGAGAAAGCAAATGATGATTAGAGAAGCTACAGCCACAGTCAGTCTACACCTCTTTCCCCCCCCCTCCCCCCCCCAAACCACCACTGTGCTGCTATTTATGCAATTGGTCACGAATAGCAGATGCTGGCAGAGTACCAGGAGCCTGAAATCACTTCAAGATCATGAAGATCTCAGCAATTTTTGAACAGTGGCTGATACACAAATTCATTTCAAATTATTTCAGACCTTAGTAGCTTCATGGCTACAGCCCAACTGCAGAGAAGATACAGTAGTAAAGAGTTCCGCCCAGTCAAGTCTTTACACTACCAGAACCTATCGAAAGGCACAGTTCAGTTTCAAGAACCACGAAGCTACTACACTAGAAAACAAGTTGATTTCATTTTATCTATGATGCACACACTCCGGGACTAAATATTTCTGAGTAATATTTCAATGACAATTACATGGCTTTTAAAGTTGTTTCCAACAAATATGAAGTTTCCATACTTACTGCATCATGACTACTATGTTGTGCACTTTGATAGATGCTAAAGTACAGAAGTCACTGCAAAAAAAACCCAATTGTTAGATTTGCATCAAGATTTTACAGGTAATTACCTAAAATGCAAGAATTGTGGCTTCAACTAGAAATTCTGACATCTGTGTATACCAAGACCATAGAGCTGTTAGCACTGGCAACTAAAATACTTCAAAAACACTGCCTGTGACTGCATACTCATCTAGGTCTACTTTTATATACATAGTCTTGCTTTCACATGAACTATGTTCACATGCTCTTACTTACATGTAATGCCAAAAAGTGTCCTGTGAGACAGTTGTCACTCCACCTTTCAGAAGCTAACCAAAGTTAACCTGAACAACTACATTAAAGTGGGTCAACACCACTTTGCCACTGATGAAGACTTTTACTATGAAGGTACATAGACATAAGCTGCAATTTCACTTCATGCTATCAAATTTATATACATAAAGGAAAAATTACAACGAAAGATCAACATTATGCCAACTTGGGCATCTTTTCATGTAAAAGCAGCAATTTCTATAAAAAAAAAGTCCTGAGAGAATGCTATTCTTGCTCAAAAAATATGAAGAACTTAGGAAAGTTCCACTTTTTTTGCACTCATCCACTTCTGTGTTATGCAACATGACCTCTAACCGATCTGCTGAGATTCTGAAGTCATTGTCAGAGTTACTGTTTTCTTGCAAGACATCTTTACATTTTCTGACATGCACCTACGTACCAGTTATACAGAGTGCTATGTAAGCATATACTTCTGCCCCCCTCTTAAATCAATTGCTCTTGGTCACAAATTTATCAGCTCTGGAATGAAAGGCATGTGCAACAAAGACTGCATGGCAGCCATCCACAATATTTGCATGCTATTGTCACTCTTTTTCCAGCACCAAACATATGAAGTATTAAACAGTGAATGAACACAGGTTTTTCAAATTATATAAAAATACAAATAAAACAGTTCAGTATTGAAAGTTGTTTTATATTGGTATCCATAGTAATGATGAGTATCTTTTTTTTTTCCTACGAGGCTTAAAACAGGATTTAGTTAGACTATAATGCCAGATATTCTCAGTTATTGTAGTTTTCTCATCTGAAAAATAGACAGCCTGTAACATAATATAAAGCCAGCCTGTATCCAACAGCACATACTGTCTGACAAGCAGAGAGGTACAACATCAACATACTGTTCTTTTTAAGTCCAGATTATCTGGAAATAAATCTGTTCTAAAAAAAACAAGCCATACAAACCAACCAACCAAAAAAAAAACCAAAAACAAAAACCACCCCCCCAGAAAACCCAAACACACCACACAGCACAAAGTAGTAGCTAGGAAACTATGTTGAAGGTGAACTCCACATTGAGCCAGCTCTCTAAAATAAATGGGTGGAAATTCCCTGTATGACAGATTTCATTGTACAGGTCTGCTGAATCCAGATGATTCTATGCAGCCACTTCAGGTCTCTAAGATCTCCTGTATTTGACCTAACCTGATTTTAAAGGACAACTACTCACCAGGATCCAAACAACTAGCCAGTTATGACTAACACATGACCTAAAATGATTAGCTGGGGAAACACTGAAACATGATCCACAATACTATCTGTATTACAAAGATTATCGCAGGGCCTTCACTGGAAAGTTAAGTATTTGTGTGGGGAGAAAAAACCTGAGCACAGTAAGAAATACAAAACCCCACTAAGACCAGCTGAAGCTATCTTGGCTGGGTGTTCAAATTAAGGAAACTCACTTCTTGTCTCCAGAGTTGCTCCATACAGCAAACCCAGGCTTTCAAGACTCACAATACAGTGAAAGAGCAGAAATCCACAAATAACTCTCAGCAGGTCAGGGAGGTCAAACTCATACCAACTGTGTAACATACAGAAAATCTTGGGAAAATGGGCCACTATAGTTTTGTGTGAGGCTCAAATTCTGTTTAGTACATTTTAAACAGATGACAACAAAGCTAGAAAGCGCTACTCACAGGTACTAGGACCTTGCTGTATCAGCCTGTACAAGAACTTAGATCCTTAACTGACACAACCTTCCATAGTTATGGGTCTCATTACCATGCTTAGTGTCACTGTGCTGAAGCAACGAATATTTTCACGTGCATACAGATCAACTATTGGTCTGCTCTACTAGTAACAGTCACAAACGCTTTGCTGTCCTGAAGTCCGCATTACAGACTACTGGTACGTAACGGTTTCTCTGCCTCTACTCAAAGACTGCACAATCTACCTCCAAGCTGGACCAGCAAGCACATCACTGTTCCACACTATTGCCAAAGCTGCAGCTATCAAGCAGAAGAGACCGAAATCCATTCAGTTCAGGCTACAGTCAGACCATCTTTTACCTGCCAGAGTCTCTACACATCCAAAGTCATCCAGGTTTTTCTAAGGTTAGTCACCAGCTTGCAGTTAAAAGCTGCAGCTGTTACTGGGAATAGACTCTCAAAAGCATTACTGAAATTAATGTATTATTGCACCAAACAGGTGACTAGGTTGGTATCAGCATGAAGGCCACATTTATTCCTCATGCATCCAAAGGGTGAGCAGATTCACATGGTTCAGTGTTTACATAAAACTAGCTTACATGTTTTTAAGACGTGACAGAAGTACACCACTTCATGCTTATTTAAAGTTAGCGCCCAATTTGCTATCTCATACCTATTTCAATTTATTCCAACACTTCAAAGCTGTAAGGTTCTCTCGCATCCCAAAGGGGCTGGTGTCCACTGAAACCACACACAGACCTGAAGTCTCTGTAGTTAACTATGTTCAGTCTGCATTTCATCAATTTATTCCAACACTTCAAAGCTGTAAGGTTTGCTTGCATCCCAAAGGAGCTGGCATCCACTGAAACTGTGGTTAACTATGCTCAGTCTGCATTTCGGTGTAAGAGAACTAACATTTGGCTTTGTCACCAACATAGACTAAGCTAGTAAGTCTGTTGATCAAATGAACTTTCAGAAGCTATGAATGAAACAGCTTAAAGTTTAAAGGACAGGCTGTAAACACTGCTTACCATTGTATACACATGGTCAAAGAAAATAAATACAAATCAGCCTCTAGTTTGTATACAATTAAATACAAATTCCCTCTACTGCCAGAGAAATCTCTGGGAAAGTTACCAGAGAACATGCTAGGGGAACACACCTGCACTTCTGTCCCCCAAAGCAGCAGGTCCTAGCTATTGCCAAGGCCTAAAACATTGGGATAAAGATACCATTCAAAGCCCTGAGAGTCAGGTACAGCAAGCCACTATATGGAACTGTTGAAACAGCCATAGTTTAAGTATTTTTTTCAGTACTATTAAACTCACACAAAGAAAATGCCACAACATCTCTGCAAATACATTTCCGCTGACTTTGCACCGCCATAATTTTTAATAACACCCATGTGATATTTGGAGACGAGTACACTTACAACATGTAGCTCATTTCATCTTGAATGACCGTGGGCACCATATAGTCAATCTAAAAAAAAAAAAAAAAAAAAAAAAAGCAATGAAAACACAAATAAGTAGATTTATATATGAAGATTAACACGTATTCAACTTTGAAAGCCTATCCTATTTACCTGCTTCATATCCAGAGGACCAATGTTGGTGATGTTGTTCAGCCGTGCTTTGCCAATAACTGTTTTTGAGAACTGAACTTGGGCCGTGATATTTGCCACTTCAACAGAATAATAGTTGTTGTTTGTTATATTTAGTGTGTTCTGAAAAACAAAACAAAACACTAACAGCTATCCATTCCATGTATCTTGATGAGCACACATTTTAAAATTTGTATCCAAGACAGTAATACCTAAGATTATGCAAGTGTATTTTCCTGCCTTCTAGGATTGGGGAGGGGAAGGGCGGTAAGGACCATCACTTAACCCCTTTCTCAGTTTTTTTGGTGACTATATTCAGCTGCACAACTTCCCACCACTGCAATTACTGACCATTTCTTCCCATCCTCAATTAATCCTTCCAGGAAATTTAGCTATCACAGGACCCTTTTCTCCCATGGCTGCTTTGCCTTATTTAAAATGAGGAACTCTACCAAAAGTCTTCAGGCAATCCTGTATTGACTGCATTACCAAGAAGTCAAGAAGCATGTGGAAAGTACTCCTTTTAAGTTTTAGGGTGGATAAGAAATCACTTTTTCTCAAAACCAATTTTGACAGATGCATAATACCAGGACAGCATTTAGTAACATTCCTACATATACCCCCGCCACATTTCACTCGTATTCAAAAAAATAACACAGAGAACTCCAAAGTCACTGTTGCCATGAAAACAGAAGGCTCAACAGTAGCTTGCAACTACACCTCTATTAGCCACAGCTACAGGAACCAGCCGCAGCAGGTCCAGTTACGTTTTTCAAACTGGTCATTGCATTTGCTTGCATTTCTTAAGGCACTAACTAAGCTTACCAGCTAGACAACAATTTCTATGAATATTAAACTGTCACAGTAGTATCTCTTGTTGCATTTATCCATTACAAACACCCAAACAGAGAGCTAGACTTACCGTAATATTTAGATATATTATACGTCTACCCTGTTCGTAAGTGACATATACTGACTTCACACCAATGTATTCAACATCAATTGAGCGAGGAAACAAGAAGAATACAGCCAGCCCAGAAAGTAATAAACATACTATTACAGAAGCAGTCACATAGAGCTTTCTGGAGGAAAAAAGAGCACATACCAGAGTCAAAACCACATTAAACAACAGTGGCATGTTATTTCCTTTTAAATGATAAGGAGCATGACTAGTCAATACAACTAGTTCAATCTATCTCTAACTTCCATTAGCTTCCAAGGGCGGGGTGGGATGGGGTGGGGAACCCAAGCTATGCTGCACTTCACCTCTATGTCTCAAACAGAGATGTTACTCTTGTACATACATCAGAAATCAAGTTACAGAACATGCAGTTATCCCAACATTTGTAACTTAAAGATAAAAATGGAAGAAGTAAACAATTATGCGTTTTGAAGCATAAGCACTTTCTCTTAAAATTTATATTGTCATTCTTCAGAACTCTTGCACAACACACCTAGAAAGAAAAGTACAGCTCTTACATGCCTTACAGGGGATTCTTTGTTATAAAAAACTTTCACGGAAAGTGTTGAGACTGCTGCTAAGGAAAAGGAAATTCACAATTAACCTGATGTAGAAAGGGGGTGTGTGTATAATGATAAAAAAATAAACAAATAAAAGGCTCTACTGCAGCTTCAATTTTCTCAAAATTAGGACACTAAAGTAATACGTTTCAAACTTGTACTACTATTACATCAGATATATGATCCAGGATAGTATTATGTGAAGTTATAGTATTTTTTTCCTGGCACTTATTTCTGTTTACTACAGAAACATCCAAACATTAAGAAAAAAAACCAACCCACCATCAAAAAGTGTCAGAAGAAGCAGCCCTGAGGACTGTAATTAAACATTTAAGTAGATCCAAGAAAAAAAATTAAATATACTATATCAGAAGGATGAATTTGTTGGTTTTGCTAGCTGGTCAGAGCTTTACAAAATTAATTTCTAGGTGACTTATTTTACAGTAGTAGCCCAAAGAAGTTATCAATTTACTCAGTCTTTAACACTGAAGATGTATCAGCTTAGATCAATTAAGATACTACAGAGATTGAGAAGTACTTGCATAATTAGTGTAGACATTCAGATAAATATCTACATGAAGATATCACACAGTATTCCTTAGCTTTGTAAGACATACTGTGATGGGAGTATGCACACCTATTAATAACCCTCCAAGAGTTAGAGGTTAAGGTTGATATTACTCATGAGCAGGGTTCTTTTGATTCTGAATTGAAGAAAACATCCCAGTGATTTTTGCCTGATTCTTCTTGACACTATCTCCTTTAAATTGCTGAATTGTAACTAGAAGAGAAGAATTATCTGTAGATTTGTGTATCACAACTATTAACTTACGTTCTTCTTGGCCTCAGTCTCTGATCACTGTATGGAATTAATGCTACCAGCTGATTTTCCTGCCCTGGAAATAAAAACACCCTTTCAGAATTTAGACAAACAAAGAATATTGTTGCAGTTGCTTCAAACAAAGAGTGCCCCTTATAACCTAAGGGCACCAAAGAATAAACACTAAAGATAAACGTTTAAATTCCAGATAGGCCCAAGAAGAATACTTCTGTAGCTTATGTCACTTTCCGAAATAGATCATGGCTTACACACAGAGGAGAAAACTACCAAGCCCACAAAGACCAAACAGCAACAAATTCTGCCTCTGTGTTGCATGCATGCACGGGAGGCAGCATACCTCTGGAGCCATTTCCTCGAGGGAAACGGAGGTACGTAACAGCTTCGAGTTCTCTTTGCCAGACCATACAAAGTCATAGGAAAAAACATTCAGAAGCTTGGGCAGTAAGAACTGATCCAGAAGGCATTCTACGTGTACTCTTCTGAAAAGCAGAAGTCAGGTTTGATACATGTATTTGTTTTTAAACAATTTGGGCAGCTTTGGCAACACTGCATTCTGGAAATCATTGGTATATACAACCATTTCTCATAGGACAGAGCTGCAGCACCCTGGAAGCCAAAAAAGTATCTACTGGAATTTCTCCAAGCAGCAAGTTACTTCACTAGACAGCATTTTTAAAAGGGGGATATCTTCACAGTATAAATAAGAAACAGTAGCACAGATGAGCTGTTGAAAATACGTGGGCTACACCTGCCTTTATAGCTTTTGCTATTTGCTGTACAAGAAAATGGAACTGAGATTCATCCATATGAGAAAAGAGAGGCCTCAAGACCAAGTCAGGTTTGCACTTTTAAGCAAAACACAGAATGTGGCTGGCATTATCACTTTGCTAATCAACCACTTAGAAGTGATTCCATGCTGAATCACTAAGCTGAGCAAAGCATGCTAACAAACCAGGTAGTAGTATGTAACATCAACCTTCACAAAAAACCTCTACCAATTTAAAACAGATTTTCACCTCAACTTCAATGAAGCATCTTCAACCTTTGAACAAAACAGCACAGTCCTTCCACGCTTTAACCATACTGAAAAGCTTAAGCTGTCCAAGTAACAAAACGTAATTTCATGTGTTACACAGTTTAGCCATCATATCATGTGTTACAGCCTTCCCTCCTAGTCATGCAGTCATTCTGTGAACACGTAATTTTTCCCCTCTCCCCTCAAAAAAACCCCAAACGTGATTTTTTTTTTCTCCTAAAGTACTGAGGTATAATTAAAGAGACAGGGGATTTGTTCTAATAACTCTTGTAAAGTTTGGCTTTAATCACATTATTTCATTAGAATGTATGGGCAACATGCATTTTTAATAGTTACTGCAAAATGTTTAATAAATTAACTAACTCAGTTTGTCTAAGTATTACATCCAAGAATCATATAGTCAGAGAAATACCTCTTGAACACAGGAATCCTGCTATTACTGCGTTTTAGCTAGCGCCATTTTGAGTAATACTTGCCATTGATATTATCAAGTATTTCAAGTGAGCAAGCTAACAGAAGAAACTTCCTTCTCTATAGTCTTTCGGTTAAGATAATTTTCAGTTGCATAGCCTTTCCACCCTTCAAATATGCTGAATTCAGAGGTACTAGAAAAATACATCTTAATACAAAGTTTAACAGCCAAAACAAACCACAAATCTCTTATGATATTTGCAACCATTTAAAATCCCATGCCCCCTGCTACTTAATCACAGGTGAGGCAGAAGCACACGTACAAGGACAGTATGGCACAGACATCAATCAATTTTCCCGAGTCACTGGTCAAAATCAGTTCTGAGAGCTTTTACAACCAATAATTTATTTTGGAATAAGAGTTCTGGCAAAAGCAAAGCAGTACCAAGTGTGAAACCTCCTCGTCAGTTCCTCCCCGCCCCCATCAAAGGCGAAATCTTACAGCTGAAGCAGAAGGCTGCGCCTTCGCACACTGCGTTTGCCACTTTCTCATTTTGCCCATTTCTTGCATTCTCCTTTCAAAGGGCTGTTTCTAAATAGCTATTCAGGTGGCTTATCATAGAGGAAAGAAGTGTAATAAAGCAGAATGTTTTATTAGATAAAGGAAAAGCAAAGGACAAGGGCAGCAAGCAAACAAAACAGGTATGAAGATGAATGCTGTGCAGCCTGCTCCTTCCTGGGGTAGCCAGAGATCCTGTGTATTTTCAACTCCTAGCTGGGGTCCTCTACCTAGCAGGGACAGATGGGACAAAAGGAGGGTAAAGGAAAACGAAGATCACTGACAGCAGCAAGGGCAAGAAAATTCACTATAAATAATCAGGGAAAAGGTGCTGCAGCACAGGTCCACTTTTCACTCTATTAGCAGCTATTTTTGCAAAGTTATATAGTGATGCAAATAATTTAAAATAGTGAAAAAAAGATGCAATAAAATGTCACAAAAATAAAGGTCTGCAATTTCAACTTGCAAGAGCTAGGGTTATGTGCAAATTTAAAGCTGAGAAGCAAGGAACACTGTCATTGTACAGACAAGAGAAGACCCAACAGGTAATCACCAAAGCTGACTCAATTTGTTTTGTTCATCCAGTGTAATCATAACAAAATGCTTAGTGCTAAAAAAATCAAAAAGTTTAAAAAAATTCATCTTGACTAGGAGAACTATTTGCTATGGATTATTATAGTTACAACTACACACGGTTATTAGGTAAACCTGTAAGTTAAGAAATAAAAAAAACTTACCTCGTGGAATTCTTCCTGTTCCCTGGCAAGTGGGGCAGGTGACACTGTCTCTTCCTGTGAATTCCACATAGGGAAACTGCGATACATCTCCACATCTGCCATCTTCATTGTGCGATTCTGAGTGAATTAACCCATTCCTCATATTATCAGACACCGTGCCTCCATCATAGCCATCTTCCTTGCACGTGTGCATAGGCAGGTGAGAAAGTGATTTTCCCATGTCTAAAAATAAAAGCCAGAAGCAAGTTTTCAGGGAGAATGATTCAAACACAGCTTGCATTTATTCTTCTGCATCAGGTAACTGTCAGTCTATGGTCATTACTCTGACGAGACTCCTGCTGCCCTCTGTTCAGATCCCTTTAAGACCTGTAAAGCGCTAAGGCCCTGTCAAGCTGAAGTCAATCCCAAGCTGTAAGAACCTGAACTAACTGGGAGCTTTGTTCAGACCCTCCAGTATACACAGGTTGAAGGGGGAATCGGTGAGAGGCTTTTAAGGCAGAACAGTACAAATGCTGGCAAAAGGCTCCAACAGTCTAGCAGTGCTTTTCAAAGAACTGTTACTGTACAGACCTCCACAGAACACATTAATCTTTGTATCAAAAAGAATTCAAAACTGGGCTCTAAAAAGCAAGTTTGCATTTTCAGTGCATTCTACACATACTACAGACCCAATTCTTTTTAGGCTGGACTTTAGGCTGACACAGGATCAGCTACTAGTTTCCAAGCTAGAACTATAAATCTCCATGTGTTTAAATTGATGATTCCATTTAACCCAAAAGAGGGCTGATTCACAAGAAAGTCAAGGAAAAAAATGGGAGATACTTTTTTTTTAACAAGTCTTTTTAAATATTTCATGTTGCCAGCAGCTGTGTTAAAGTATTAACCACAAAAGCATTTTTGCTACTTTTTTCAGCCATGACATTGAAACTACCTTATAGAATCATAGAATGGTTTGGGTTGGAAGGGACTCCTAGAGGTCATCTAGTCCAACCCCCCTGCAGTGAGCAGGGACACTGCTAACTAGATCAGGTTGCTCAGAGCCCCATCCAACCTGGCCTTGAATGTTTCCAGGGATGAGGCCTCCACTACCTCTCTGGGCAATCCGTTCCAGTGTTTCACTACCCTCATTGTAAACAATTTCTTCCTTGTATCTAGTCTAAACATAGAACACAGAAGATTAAGGGAGCAGAACAAGTCAGAATATTTTAAACCAACCACTCAAGACAGAACAGAGAGATCTGAAATACAGAGATAGTAACATAAGCACAACATTAATTCATTGTATGCCACAAAGGCTAGGTGAGTGTAGGAGAGCAGAATTAATTCAACAAATGCCAACAAGTCCCAGTTATTGTTTCAGTAAATATGCAGCATTATTTTATTTAAGTCACTAAACCATTACCAGAAGGAAAACTATCCTTATGCTGCTACAGCACTTTTTAAACATTCTAAGTTTGGGAGCCATTCAATAATGGAAACTGTTGAAGTGAAAATTAAAACCATTGAGCTACTGAAAGAAATTTGCAGAAAAACCTGTTGACAGTTATTCCACATGGGGTTTTTGCTTACTGTTCTCCTTGTGGCTGACCTATAGCCTTTAAGCTATGAAACTTGAGTCTTGCAGCTTAGGCAATAGCTGTCACAATTATAAACCTGAAAGCTTAGGGATAGATACCTACAACTGTATTCAACTTACCTGCTCTACTGATGGTAGGCTCAGGCTACGCCTACATTAACAACTAAATACAGAACAAGAAGCAACTCTGTAGAAATAAAGTTATTGAGGATCCAACATCCACGCTATATGCATGTGTTTATTTCATACTAGCTCTTGTCTACTGACAACATCCACTCACAACTGAAGTGCAGCTTCTAGTTTTAGCTTCTTCCAAAAGGAAGACAGTTCACAGACTCCCAGACCACGCTGTGACGTGAATCAGAGTGCAGCAAGCAAGGATGACTGGGAACTCATTTCAAGAGCACGTTCCTTATTTGAATTAAAATACTAATGCAGATGTATCCTCCAATGCCAACTGTACCTGAGCTTCAATAACTAGAATAGTGTTACTCCACTGCCAGAGAATTAGGCGAGACATGGCTCAGTTCACAAATGAGAAAACAGACAACCATCTTCAAGTGAAATGTGTTCCTCCAACATGCTTCCCCCCCCCAAAACCAAGCACTGAACTTTATTACAGCTGACCAAAACTCAAGAACGCTGTTCTTTTATCCAGCACTTACATGCTGAACAGTAATAGTTCTGCAAACATACCATCTTCATGTGACAGCCTCTATACTGTGACAAAAGTCACAAACCCTACCTCCTTAACAGCTGTGGTTTGACCCAGTCTCTCCCTTGTAACTGATGTGTACACTCCAGTCTTCTTAAGACTCGTCTGGAGTTTCCTTGAATTCACAGTCTGTTAGAAAGAGTTTGGTAAATTAAAAAACGTTGTGATAAGCAGCTCTTGTTTAAGACTGCGCCCTTCAGCTTGCTGTGGCACCGCAGCATGATAGTATGTAGGCAAAACCCAAACAGCATCCCAGGCACACAGAAGCACCGCATCTTGAGTTAATGCAAGACTCAGGGGAAAAAAACTTTGTTTATAAACTCAGTGAAACTTTATAGAATTAAACTAGATTGTTATACTTCTCCCAAGAGTTAGGGTGGCATTCTCACCCCCTACATTCAAGTATATGAACTTGAGGTTACAAACTTACTTCTTTTTCAAAACAAAAATAATTTATAAGCATGACAGTGTATGCCCAAGCACCTGTGGCTTAACCACAAACATAACAAGCTCCTCCAAAACAGAGAAAGCTGCAAGATAAGGTGATGACTCGGCAGTCACGAATTCGCTCAGCACGGGTGATTCTCACCCCCTACATTCAAGTATATGAACTTGAGGTTACAAACTTACTTCTTTTTCAAAACAAAAATAATTTATAAGCATGACAGTGTATGCCCAAGCACCTGTGGCTTAACCACAAACATAACAAGCTCCTCCAAAACAGAGAAAGCTGCAAGATAAGGTGATGACTCGGCAGTCACGAATTCGCTCAGCACGGGTGGGCATTGCCAGGGCTGCCTTTCGCGGCGCCTTTAG